CCCTTTCGTGCAGGTGGATCTGAATACGTCGACCCTTTTGTTGAATCAGTGTAACGTCCGGAATAAACTTTGTTTTCATTACATGGTTTTTTGCCTTTTCCAATTCTAAAACATAAATTAGTGAAATTTTCTTTTACCCACTATTTTATCTCCGGATGTGATTTGTCTTCTTCTATTATGTTTAAAACCTGTTTATATTGTGGCTTTTCTTCAACTAATTTTATTCCGATGTTTGGCAGTAGGTTACGCCGAGAATATTTGCTTTTTGGTCGTCGACCACAATAAATAGGGCCGATTCAATAGTCCACCCCCCGGATTGTATTGCTAGAATTAGTTGTTCTTTCGGAACGATAACTTTTCCATTATAGCATGCTAGATTTCGTGCTCTATCTTCCGGCGGGATTTTTTTATTAAAAAGTGGATTTATCATTTTGTTGTAGTCGTCGTGCTGTTGTTTCATTTAGGAATGACGTTGGACTCCCTGAATCCACGATAGCAGGTATTTCAGCAGGTTTTGTTTTAAGTTTTACTATATGTCCATTTAAATCTTCGTCACTGGTTTTTACAGTTTGTTTGATTTCGAACGCGTCTGCGATTGCCAACATGGATTATTTATCTCTGTAGCTCCTCCCATCCGTTGTGTGACGTGAACTCAGCAAAAGCGACTGGGTCGTTTTTCTTCGGTTTCGTGAGGTTGTTTTTCTATGTCTTTTCTCGGTTCGTCTTCGTTGTTATTTTGGAAAAAAATTTACGTTATCTGAGCGACAGACTCACACAAAGTGTCCCCGTTTTGCACATTTCGTGTAAATTTTATCTCGGGCTGGGCACGTTTGTAGATGGTTAGGGCCGAAAGATTTCCCACACTTATAGCACTGCTTTTGGGAAGTGTAGTTCTGCGGACCTCTGTTTTGATTTCCTCGTGTGTTTTGTCTTCCGCGCGAGTATTTTCCTCTATTATTGTTCTGAAAATTTGGCAAAAATCCGTCACGACCTCCTCTGGGTTGGATGTACCCCATTGGTTCTTGTTTTATTGTCACAGGCGATGTAGGTCCGATTGGATTCAATTTCATAGTTTTGCTGTGTTCGATGCCCTTTTCGCGTTTTATTGCATATTCGTATGCTTCCTGTGGTGTTCTTGTTTCCGCTAACAATTCCTCGGCAGTTTTTGCATTGTTCATGTGCGCTGTGAACATACCACGAACCCATTCATCTTCTTTGTCCTCACTGTCTGCACGAAAGGCTAGTTCCACCAGATCCGCGTGGAATTTTTCCAGTGTTCCGTTTTTTCTTCGTTCACGGCTGATAAAACTGTATCTTTCGAATGCTAATTCTTTGTGTGATAAAAATGACTTCCAGCACTTGTTTTAATTCTCTTGTCGTTGTCGTTTGTATATTTAACCCTGGTCGTTTTTGTTGGACTTGTCGTTGTCCTTCCATGCTTAGGCATAGGAATAAATAGCTTCGTACTCTCGCATCCGCTTCGTCCCAGATTACTGAGTTGCACATAACACCCTTGTCTCTTGCTTTTTGGCATCTATTTTCCCAATCTACGTTCTTCTCTTGGTTTCTAACCTCTCTGTTTCTCCGTTGTGCATGGGTTTCTCCTTGTATTTCGACCTCTAAGATTGGTTCCGTTGGCAGTGTAATTTCATGTTTTTCACGTAGCAAATTTTGGATCACTATTCCTTCTTTTGCGAATACTGCAAGTTCTACAATTGCGGCCCATTTGCTCCATTCCAGTGGGGGCTCCGATGATGCTTTTTCCCAAAATGAATTAAAGCTGAGTGGGTTTTTTGTAGATCCTGCTGGCTGAGCCATGTCATACCCTGAGGTATGCTAAATGTTTTTATCGAATTCGAATGGATTGGCGAGCTAATTGTGAGTGAGGCTGAGCGCATAAATAAGACCCTTGGTTCGTAAACTCTTTATTCATGTTCTAACGGTATAATCTAAACTCTTCGTTAGGTTTACCTTCAAGGTCAATTGACCAGCTCAACAAAGTGAGCTTAACAATATAATATGTATTTACATAGTACTTTGCCAATCCGGCCGGATGACAGGTACTCTCAGGAGTTGTAACTTGCAAATTTTGCGTCCAAATGCGACTGCTTGAAAAATGCTCTTAGTTTCCGAGATGTGACGATTGTTAGGTCATTTTTTTAAATTAAAATGTTGAAAGAGTTCAGATATGAAGAGTTTCACAAATTTTGAAGTGCTCATCTCTATAGCGAAGCAATGTGAGGGTACTACCAGGGTTTGCGAGTTTTGCCTTCAAATTTGAATGCTCAAATCCTTGTACTTTTTGAGATATGACGTGTTTTATGATTTTTTTTTATTTTTCTGAAAATTTTTATTTTGAAAAATTCAAGAGGTTTGCTTTTGCCATCCTTGTAGTTGGGTTCTGTGCGGATACTCTCAGGAGTTCTAAGATGCAAATTTTGCGTCCAATTGCGATTGCTCAAATGCTCTTACTTCCCAGGATGTGACATTTCTTAGGTCATTTAAAAAAATGTTCAAAGAATTCAGATCTGAAAAGTTTCACAAATTTGAGCCGCCAAATGTGACTGCTCAAATCCTTGCAGTTTTCAAGAAATGATGTTTTGTTGTGATTTTTTTCAAAAATTTTTTACAGAAAACTAATTTGAAAACTATTTTTTTTATTTGAAATTCCTAACCCTGTAGTTGGAGGCTGCTATAGTACTCTCAGGGTTTGTGAATCTTATGTCCAAGTTTTATCCCTCAAATTTTTGTAGTTTTTGGGAAATGACGTTTTCTATGGTTTTTTCGAAGAATTTTTTTTTTGGAAAACTAAATTAGAAGTTTCTCAAAAATTGATTTTTTCCAACGCTGTAGTTGGGTATTGTGAGATTACCCCCGAGAGCTGCAAATCTTGAGTCCAAATGCGGCTGCTCAATTGCTGTTAATTTCCGAGATGTGACATTTTTTATATATTTTTCAAGTTTTTCAAAGAACTTGGATATAAAAAAGGTAGATTAAATATAAATTTTGAATAAAGAAAAACTTGAATATAAAAATTTTTACAAAACTTGAAATTACCATTCCTCTAATTGCGTGCTGTAAGAGTACACTCAAAGGATGCATATACTTTTTTTGTCCAATATGTGCGGTTTTTTATGGGTTGTCAAAAATTAGAAGCACCGGAGGTGCGTTACGCGCTTGTCAACTTGGTTTGGTATTGAACAAATGGACCGAAAGGGTGGGGAGTGGGATACGCTAGAAGAGCCGATTGTGTATTGTTATTGTATGTTAAGAGAGACGTTGGAATATTTTTCGATTGATCTAAAAAAAATTCTGTTAAAAGTTGCTAGTTAGAAAAATACCTTCTAGTATTTGGTTGGGGTGGAGAACGTTCTTTTGGTCAATGTGGGGGAGATGTCCACATAGGCCGAAAGTACGAAGTGCCCGGTGTTGTTAATGACATTTTGTGAATCATGTTGTTAATCATGTAATCCCAAATGTGTGGAAGTGTTTTGAAATTAGAATTGATTCATGTAAAGTGTGTTAAGAAGCGATGTGTGTTATCTCTTCAATAATCTGTCTGAAGAACATCATTTAACCAGTGTGAAAAAGAAGTCTCCAAAACATGGCCTTTTACATACTCGCCTTGTAAGTGTTTCCCTCTTTGGGCATATAATTTTGTCCATCCAGAGGCGAGAGAGTATCCATCAAGGGAACCCTTGGTCCCACTCTCAACCTTGGCTTCACCTTCACTTCTACATCCGATTCACTGTAGCGACGACTTTTATCCTCTTGTCTAGGTCCATTTAATTAAATTAGAGCTTGAACAGAATCTTAGTTATAGGATTAAATCAATGATTGAGCAATTTTTGTCGTAAATGACGTATATGTCAATTTAGAAAAATGTTAGTCAATTTTTAGTCGAGCTGTATTTTTTTGTAAAAAGTACTGATTGTATTTTTCAAAAAGTACTGTAGTGTGCTAAACTTTGGCGAAGTAGAGCTAATCGGTCGACTAGAAAAAAGTTACAAACGTTTCAAGTGTTTCGTCCTTGCCGAATCTATTTATGTACTTCTGTTTTGAACTTATGTGATAGTCAAATTTAGATTCAGTTAGAAGGTTTTGTTTCGAAAAAAAACCACGTGTTTAATTTATTTGAGGTCAAACTGGTCTCGGCAGATATTATTGATTTTAAAAATCCGATAATTTTGCGTTTGCCCTGCCCCCAAATTTGAATTTTGAAGTTATTTTAACGAATTATGCAATGAAATTTTGGATGGCAAATAAATAAACAAAACTGAACACATTTGTGACAAAAGATGTTACTTCATAATTTTGACAAAAAAATAGCACATACCCTTAATAGCATTTAAAAGTATTATGACAATGAAAAACTGGTTATGTCATTGGTGGGTATGTCTCGGAAAGAGCTCATATTTAAACAGACGTTACCCTCCTCCCAGTCTGTATCCAGGGTGGTTTTGATCCATTTTAAGTCCGAAGTAATTGATACTTGGCAGCCTGTAAATTAAGTACGGTATGTTTGATTTTTGACTTCGTTGCTCCATTGCGTGTTACAGATGTGATTTCTCCTAATTTCTTGACCTTCACAAAATTGGAAAGATTCGAATTAGCAATTAGATAACTTTTGTTTTATTAAAAGCTCTTGCTTTGAGATACAAATTAAGAAATAAACGTGCCTGAAAGGTTATTGAATCTCCTTGAGAATGATTAAGATAAGAGGCTACTGGCCTTGTAATCTAAATGTCCAAAGTGAACCAAATTTCCAAATTTTGATTTTTTTTTCACTTATTTTTATGCAAGATCGTAACAGGGAGTTGTTCTATCAGATCATTAGTATTACTTATAATAATATAATAGTATTTTTTATGGCGTTCTCTCAAGTGATGGTTTTGTAATAGACCTAAAATTTTTTCTATATTAAGTTGTATGATAACCTCACTTGAAAATAAATTGTTTTTATTATTAGCCTAATTTGGCCCTTTTCTGGTTTCAGTTTAAATATGAGTGCACTTGAAAATGATGATAAAATAAAGAGCACCGCAGATCTACAGTTTTTGAAGCTGAAGACTGCGAAGTTGTCTTCAGTTGACCTTTCTAAAAAGGGATCAATTGATGAACCTATTCGACCTTTGATACGAAAACTTAACAATTTGCAGGACTATTTCTCTCTCAGCTCGTGTAGTGGTCGCGTTATGATAGCAAGTAAAGAGCGAAATAACGATAAACAGAACATATCTTGGCATGCTAATTTGCACCACTGTCCTAGTTATGACGAATTGAAAAATAATTTAAAAGGTCAAAATACGATTCTGAAGTATGAGCCATTTGTGCTGCACGTTCAGTGTAAAGATTTCATGGCAGCAAAACCGCTGCTGAGTCACGCTTTGCAAAGCGGATTCAGAAATTCGGGGTTAATTCCTGCTAAACAAGGAAGGTATGTTCTCGGAGTTCGAAGTACGCTAACGCTCGAGCTACCGGTTACAAATGAAAACGGAGAAATTTTAGTCAGTGAAACATATATTGAGATTTTGCAGAAAACGATTGAGTCAAAGTTTGCTCAAAATGATATCTACATCAAGCGTTTTGAAGAGAGCATCGACAAAATGGTCGAAAACAAAAAAGAAAACCGGGAAACGTTAATTGATTTGGAAAATCTCAACACTTCTAGCTCCGGTTAATTTAAAAAGAAGAAGCTTTATAATTATAATGTATTCAATTTGAAGTCGCTTTTTGACGTTTTGCGTCCAATTTTGGTTATCAAATTGGTTTTTCTTCCACAGAAACACATGAGTATCGTTCATATTCATCTTGTAAAGCCAAAGGAACGCTGAAGTTTTTCCGTCGAATATACTTTTCTCTATCATCTATCGAAGACGAATCCTCGTTTGTATCTTGAGAAGCTACTTTCGAGATTCTGACAGCGGGAATCCTAGTCCTCGGACCCGAATTTACAGGCGGAGTCTCAATGATTGCAGTCAACACTTCCTCGTCGTTTTCAATTGTAGTAGCCAAGGTGACGAGACTCGTTTCGGTCGGAAGTTTCACGACTTCGCCCATCTTTTTGAAAATCAGAACCCGATGGCCTTCGGGGCTTTCAGCTCGCAGAAAGATATCCGACAACTCGCTCGAATCGGGCATCTCAACTCGTTTCAGCTGCGAAAAGTTTAGATGTCGGCTCAGCGAAGTTTCCTGATATCGCACGCGTTGTGGTTCGGGTGCGACCCACCCGCCGATGCTCCGTGTTTCGGAATCTTGACGCTGGCCGAAATATTTTGGATCTTGTACGAAGTATTGCAGACATTTTTTAATAGAAACACGTGTTGTTTTGTTCATATAGCCGAATAAAATTGGGCTAATTGATACACTCAATCCGTATAGAATCAAAATTAGTTTTGAGTTTATTGCGATTAAATTGATTCTCGATATGTAAAAAGGTATCATGAAAATGTCGAAGAAAATAATTAAAACTATGCTTGACTTTCTGATTTTGTTGAGATTTCGGCGAGATTGGGCGATGTGATTTGAAGATAGAAAATTGAATTCACTGTCTTCGTGATCTGAAATTTTACTTTGACTTAGTTTCCTGGAGTTCAAACGTCGATCATAAATCAGAGTGGCCAAAATTATTAATATGAAACTGGAGTTGAGGGTTAAAATCGGTAGGATAACAGCGACTATTTTGACAGACTGTTCAGTGGTTTTGTTGTTGATTTCGTCTAAGTTAGCTGCACAGTTGAGTAGGTTTGGATCGTAGTGGTATGGTTTGTAGTCTGGCTGTTGTTTGTCTTCTGGTTGTAGCATCCAAAGGAGACTGGTAGATAGTGATGTTATGCATATGATAGTGGTTGTGACGAGGGAGGTTGCTTTGGTCACGAGGTGCGAGTGAATTATTGGGAATAGAATGGCGAGTAGCCTGAAAATGGAAAATCATTTCACGTTTATATAAAAAAAAACAAAGCGAGCACATCCAACGTAGATTAAATTGGTGAAATTGTCAAAAAAATAATCAGAGGTAATTGTTGAAAGAAAATTGATCTGAATTTTGCAAAGTAGGAGTAAAGAAATGTTTGGTATCGCATCAAATGACAATTTTTGTTGCTTGGGTAGGTTCAAAATGTCGTTTTTTACTTTTTTAAATTTCTGCCGAACTATTTTTCAATCAATTTAGTGCGAAGTATACATTATTTTGTCCGTGAATCCCTCTTGAATACAACGGGCATGAATTTACAGGAAAGAAAGTAGGCTTAAGGCTCTACATTTCAAATACCAGCAATTGCTTCAGCTTAAATGTTATTTTAAAAGGGAAGATGTGACTCGTTGGCTGATTTTTCGCTCACCTGTCGAGCGCCATGAGAGTGGCGAGGGAGAGTGTGATGAGTTGACAGGTGGAGCTGATGGTAGCCTGAGAGAGACAGAGTGACTCACTGAATTCCCACTTGTCTCCCCCACTCCACACACACACCAACACACTTAGTGGCATACTCATCATCGTCAACACTATACAAATAAACAGACCAAACTATCCAACGGTTACATGACACAAAATCTTGAATCAATGGGCCCCCATTCTTGATTATCCCCCGAGCGAGGATCCCAATTGCCGATGAAATAGGATCCCATATCGACCAGAAGACAACAAATTTTCATAACAATGAAATATAAGAATTTATCAGTAGTGTAATATGATAACTATAATAAAACATAGCCAACAGACAGTTGGAAAAGAGCCAATGAACGAAAGTAAACAGAAAAAATCTAACTATTTTTTTTGAACTTGAGAATTTCAAAGAAAAAAAGTAGATGGCCTTGAAGCTCTTATAATTACTAGAACTATTTTTTGTTGACATTTTTTTGATAAAATCAACCCAATTTGAGAAAACTGGGTTAAACAGGAAAGTTTTTAATTTGCTGGGAAATCTGCAAATAAAATTCCACTCTCGGAACTAGAATTCGATCACGTTTTTCATGATTTTTACATTTTTGCTGTTCGATAGTTGCGTTTGCCTTCCTTTTAAAAACGAAGTGAACTGAACATAAAAAGAAATCATTAGGCTAACCGCAAAAAAAAAATAAATTTTACCCTGTAGAAATGTTGAGACTTTTCCTGAAAAAATAATCGAAAAAAGTCACCACTACCTATATAAGAATCTGAACTACGTTCATCGACTAATTGGGGTTTCAATTTACGTATGTCTGAGAGTTGCCAACACATTGCAACGTAAATAATGTTTTTTTTGTGATGCCTTTTTCACCTTACATCTGTTGAAGCGCGTATGCTTTAACGATACAGTTTTACCCTTGCTTTAAACTTTTTTTCAAAAAGTGTATAGTTTTTGTGATTATCTTTCAATGTGTGTTCCATGTTTATCTTTCCCCGAACTATATTTGCTCCGGATTTTGATCTTAGCTAGATAAAAATACATTTTTTTTCTTCTAATCTGCTGTGATACTGCATACTTAATATTTTAAAGAAATTAAAGATTATACAAAGTGACTATTCATTTTGTCTTTTTAAAATCAAAATATAGAGAGTTCACAAGTATGCTACCAGCTTCTGTTCAGATGTTTATTGAAGGCTAAAATTCAAAAAAAAAATGTTTTTTTTTGTTTTTTAAAACTGCATTCACTGTTCGAGGTACATCGTCTTGAGTTGACAGTAATTTTTCAAAAAACTTACTGACAAATAAGTCTATCCCTGTTATAGAGTGTTTTTTGCAAATCTGTTGTTTCATTTAGTTCCATAAATTTCAGATATTACTGGAGATTGTGATTGTGAGACTCAGTCTTCCAAAATTTGCTGAAAAAGTTCGTCCAGATTAAATAGTTATTGAGTTTTTCACAATCGCAATTTTTGATCGAATTAAAATATCTGTCGTTCACAGAAATTTTACGGCATTTCTCCAAAAAGTCTCTATCCATAGATTCGAATACTTTCAATTTTTTTATTTCAATATTCTGTGTAAACTATGATTTTTAAGTTTTTTTTATGTGTTTTAGTTTAACATTTAAAGTGATATTCTGTAAAAATCTTTTAATTTGACTTTTTTTTTAAAAAATAAAATTGTAAATTTCCTATTTATTTTCCCACCTCCAGTCCGGATAATTTAAATCAACTCTGTTTATTGTTGTTTTTGTTCCGTCTTTCGAAGAAAGTGAGGAATAATTATATTCTGGTGGTTTTTTTAAACTCTGGTCCTCGGGGGATCAATCTCTTGATCGGCAAGAACCCAACCGGGTGTGCACACCATTATAATAACGTGTCACGAGTCTAAATTGCTCGTTTTATAACTTACACTTGGCGAATTATCCCTCACTACAAAACCGTAAGTGGATTAAGGCAGCTAATTGGTTTTCATTCCATGCACGAATCAATTTATACTGCTTTAGTTTGAATGTATCACACACAAATTTTATTACTTTGAGCCAAAAATTCATAATTTTGCCAATGTTTAATTTAGTAAAAGCTTTTCGAGACCAAATAAATGGTAGTCGGAACATTCGGGATCTACTGTCTATCTATCTATCTACCAATTATTTGATTAGTTTTTCTGGTCGCATGTGTTTAGGAAATCTTGTTAAAGATTTTTCAACGTTTTAGTTTGCATGTTTAACGAAAGAGTTTTTGCAAGTTTGAGCTATATCGTATATTGCAATGCATCAGAAAATCTTTCGCTTTTCGATTATATGAATGATGAACCAATTGTAAAGATGTATTTATATTTGGCCGATTCATTGCAAGTTTTAAAATAATTACCCAAGTCGACCTTTTAAAATCTGTTGGAGCGCAAATGCTTCATCTCTACAATTTTACTTATTTGTAACGCAAAATTTCAATGCTTCTCTGCCACTGTTCATGTCGCCAAATCTAATATTCTCAACCCTATGAAGCGCAACTGTCAATCTGGGTACAGTCAGGGGTTGCAAGTTTGGATTCCAAATTTTACGTCTCATCCTTTTGGCTTCCGAGATATGGCGTTTTTTTATATATTTTTTTTTTCAAAAAATTAAGATTCAAAAAACGAAGAAACTTTCAATCCTATGGTGGTGCGCTATCAAGGTACCTTTCGTAATTGCAAAGCCGGCCTCCAAATTTTACTGCTCAAATCGTTCTAGCTATTAAGTTATGGCGTTTTTATGATTTTTTTAAAAAAAAAATTCGCAAAAGTTGTACATGTAAAAAGCTAACAGAACTTGAAAATCTCAAAGCTATTGTGGGGTGCTCTCAGGGTACACTATGGAGTTGCAATTTTTCGCTCTAAATAGAGCTGCTCAATTTTGGCGGAATGCTATCAGTATACACCCAGATGTTGCAAATCTGGCCATCCAATTTTGCTGTTCAAATCGTTCTGGTTATCGAGATATGGCGTTTTTCTTGATTTTTTCATCGCTTTTCAAAGAATTTGAAAAAAAAATAACAGAAATTGAAATTATACACCATCTGGCGGAGCGCTCTCAGGATACTTTATAGATTTGCATTTGTGCCCTCGCAATATGACTGCTCAAATTCTTTTGGTTATTGAGATACATCGTTTTCTATAGTTTCAAATTGTTCAAAAAAGTTAAATTTGAAAAATAAACAAAAAGAGTTTGAAATTCTCAACCTTCTGGTGGGGTGCTTTCAGGGTGCACTCGGCCTTCAAAAATGGCTTTCAAGTATCACTGATCGAAACCTTTTAAGAACAGAGAAAGAGCGTATTTTAAGTTTTTTTAAATATTTTTTCTTCAAAAAAACATTGGATTTTAAAAACTAAAAAAAGTTGAAATTTTCAACCATGTTTTGTGGTGCCGCCAGTGAGCTCCTAGGGGTTACAAGTTTGCCTTCTATTTGAACTTCTCAATTTTATTTGAATTTTCAGCAAATTAAAGAGTTTTTTCAAGTTAAAAAAAATGTGAAAGGTGTGTGTATGCTTTCGGCTTTTTAGGGTTTTTTTTTAGTTTAAAGCTTCACAAATCTGATAAATGTTTGTGAGATATGACCATTTGGGTGAAAAATAACCTATAAGATGACCTAAAAATGTTCAATAAATGAAATAGAAAACCCCGTTGAAGGGGTCAAATTTAGATTTACGGTTGCATTCATTGTTTTTGTTTTTTGTCAACATTTTAGGAAGCTCTTTTCACGTTCAACATTCGATTTGAAGCATCGTTGGTGCGAGCAATGCGCTAGTCTGTATAATACTCTATAGTTGGGAGTCAATCGCTAGTTTATATTAAACAAAGGTTCATTAACAAGCTTTTAGTCAAGTTTAAAAACAAAACGTTACCAACGATTCGTGAAAGACAATTTTCTGAAATTTCAAATTTTTAAGACATGAAACAGTAACTTACGCGCAGATAAACCATTTTTTGTACACTATGTTCTGATGCGATTGTCCGAAACTGTGTTTTTCTTTTCAATGCAAAGAGGTTTTGTAGGATATGCACCTGTTTACAAGACAAAATTGACGATACACTTTGATTTAAAAACCCTTTTTAAAAAAACTCTAAAAGCTTATTATGCTTCGGGTTACGCATTTCAGATATATTGCCATCAGTTATCTCCCAGCATAGAATTAATCGACCAGTTAATGTCATGTCTTCCGGTGGTATTAGGTTCGAGACTGAGTCTTCTATTGAGGAGCGGCAGAAACAGACACAGGAGGAGTGGGAGCGAGTGAGGAAGGAATCTGACCCCCTTCTAGCACCAGAAGTGGAAGTGTGCAACAAGTCGCTCTTCGAACAACTCCAGGTAAATTAGTCTCTGTCTCACTACTTTGTTAAGATTTGATCAAAGTTGCGTTGCCAAAAATGATGTCTAAAAAATTGCGCCAAAAGACGGCATTTTAAACCATAAATCGAAAAGATATAGCGTGAAGCAATGTTTTTTCTTAAAGCAAAAATATTTCTGATGGACACGACACAGGCGCATGTGAAGAAGCCATGTGAAGCCATTTTTCTAGGCCCCCTATGTTGCAAAAGTTCTCCCTATTTTCGCTCCCCTGTGAAATATAAATTAATTAATTGCGCTTTAACAGCTGGTAAAAATGACTTTTTTAAAAAGTGCAAAAATATAGAATTTTTGGAAAAAATGACATCTGATTTGAGGGCGGAAGCCGGTCTACTGCTTTAACTTTCCTATTTGTAGATGTCCGTGTGTTTAACCAAAACTGATGTTGTGGTTTTAGGAGAACAGAGGTAAACGAGACGAAGAATTCGAAGAGAGTCGCAAGTTCAAAAACCACTTTAGAGGTCTGGAAGAAGAAGAGACCACATTTCTGAGCGAAGTCGAAGTTCAATCTAGAAAACAAAGATCGAATCTGGACTCAGAACTGAAATCACTCATTGAGCAGAACAAAAATGTTGTTATCGAGAACTTGGCGGAGCCTGTAATTGAAACACCAGTGGTTAGTTTTTCAACTCAGAAGTTAGGGAAAAAAGACGAAACGAAAGCGGCAGGATTGAAAAGTTTGGTTGTTAAAAAGAGATTGACAAGCGATCTATCGAGTTTGGTCAAACCGAAGTTTCAAAAATTTGAAGAAACCGTAGAAAAAACGTCAAGCAATCAATTCACCGATCAAGAAAAAGATCTCCTTTCGGAAAAAGACCGAAAAACAGAATGTTTGAAATCTGAATCGGACGTGAAAGTTGAAGAAAGTGAAAAGGTTACAAAAAGGGGCGATGTTATAGTAACTGCGGGATTGAGTGCGTTGGCTTCATATGTTGGCAGTGATTCGGATATTTCAGATTCTGATTAATTTTCATCAACAAATCTCTAGTTAAATTGTTAACATGATTACACTGGTTCTGTTCAGTCTGCAATTTCAAATGTTTATATCGCTTAAAAATATCTGCTCAAATCAAAATTGGAGTTTTTGTGTTCTGTCTAAAAATGACGAATCCGAATAACGAAATCCTTTCTTGTCAAAACTCAAATTGACAACGGTGATTATTTTAAGAGCCATGAACCACAATGTATTGGAGTCGGGGAAAAGTTTTGGTAGTTGTTGCTGTATTACCCTAAAATTTACCGTAATCGATGTTCAGAAACGACGACAGAAAAAAAATCGGACAAAAGCAACATCCTCCTGAATTTACAGCTAAAAATTGAAAGTTATAAAATAGTTTACAGCTGAGAACCGAAACTGCTTGTAAAACGAATTTTATCTACAGAGAACAACCATGTCCCAGTTTTTCACCATATGGTTAAACACAACTGCTACTGCTCGGTTTTCATGTGTGTCGAAAACGATTGTCAAAGTTAATAACCTATATATTAAGCAAATGGAGAAGCAAGATTTGCATTCAAAATAAGAATGAGAAGCTTGGAAAGATAACGAAAACTGAACGTGAATAATGCTTTGTAAGGCTCTTACCAAGGTTACATGTGACGATGATGAAGACAGTCTGCATGGGGAGGTCTCTGAGGATGAGTTTGGGTCTCTTCAGGTAGACATACAACAGCATCCCATTCGAGCAGAGCGACCACACCATGTTCAGAATAGTGAAGATGGCCATGAACACTCCCTGCAATAGAAGACCAGTTGATTTAGTTAGTTGAGACGATACAACCACAAGAGAAAGGACCAGTACGGGCTGAGGAAGGAACTTAGGAGCTGTTCAGCTTTGTGCGGAGAACCGCTGTTAAGATGAGATTTCATTGAGCTTTTTCGCTATACTGAGTTTTCTCAAACCAAAAGGAGAAAATATATTAAAAATGTGGTGCGTGAAAAGTTGTCGAAATAGGTCAATTGATCTTTTGAAAATAGAGTTCAAATTAATGTTACCTTGGCTGCCTCTTTCTCCATGTACACATGCGTCTGTTGTATTCCCTCGATGCGAACCACCATTGATGCGATGCGATTCTTAAGTCAGGTGAGAATGTTCGAGAACTTTCTAGAAGTAACGCAAACGACGAAGCGAAAAATTCAAAGACTCCTTTGCGAAAGTCTTGCGATCAATCAGTCTTAAAAGATAAATTTCTGGAAAAGCACTGAAATTTCTGATAAATTTCGAGAAACAAATAATTAGTAATTAAAAGGTTGGTGATAAAATGTTGAAGTAGCCTACGAATAAGTCCAATGATTCAACGACGAGTAATTTCGAAATATGATTTGAAGAACTAAACGGTTATCTGAAGTTTATTATAGAAGAGTAAGAGATAATGGGCCAAGCTGTAGCGAATAATTTCTTTTTCGCTGTTCCTGGAGTCAAATTTGAACGCTGAATCTTGATGAAGTTTTCAATGATCGCCCACTCAAAAATGGACTAAAACAGTTGAACTGGACAATTTTTCTGAATTTGCTGTATTTTTTTCTTCTTTTGGTGCGTCTATTTTTAGTCTGAAGCTTGTCTGCTGTCTTAAAACCTTTTAGAATACGCTGTGATTTTTTTGGTTATCACCGAAGTTGTCAATCCAATTAGTGTATGTTAACATTTAAAATAAACCTTGTTTCCTTGTTCAAATCTTCTTAATCCCGCTCAAGCAAGCCTAATTAGACGATACTGTTATATTGGGTTTCATTTTAATCTGATTAGAGACGGGTGCTCGGTTGGATTCAAAAGGGGTTTAAAATCCAATTTTAACAAATTAGGAAGAGACAAAATTCGACTAATTATCAATCAGGCAAAATGGAAATTCGATTGTAGAGGTTGGTTGGATCTATTTGAAAATATCTTAAATCCGAAATGAGGCAAAGGAAATGCAAAGTAAAGGAAATGAGCGGCTTCTAATTAAAAAATGGCCAGCTTTCTTGGCAATGGCTTCGATCTTTCAATTTTGAGGGAATCAGATGCTTTTCCTTGCTTTATCTTTTTTATGCTTGCTGTGTTTTTAGTTCATATTTGTCTCTCTGGTTGAGTTATTTTAACATTCAGTTTATAAAAATTACAACTTGTGCTTTGGTTCTTCAAAAAAAAATATTTTACAATTGCGCTTTTGTTAGTCTGTCTGTGCCTTTGTTTTCTTTGTCTGTGCCTTTGTTTTCTTTATTAGCCCGAGAAACTAAAACAATCATTCGGAAAAAAATATTCTCAATCGAAGCGATACATGGCTGATCTCATTGTAGTGTCTATTCATGAAACTGATTTGAAATTGAATTGATTCTGAGGAGAAAGAGCCATGATGGTAAGAGTGAACAAAGCTGTACGCTGTTCAAGGGCTCGGGTGGTTGCTTTTGGCAGATTATTCAATAGATCGTAAATTAAGCCCTTAGAAGTGGAGCAAGTTATTGTAAAGTTAAGAAAACTTACTTAACGCATACCTTCCCACAACTTAAGCTTAGGTAAAATGCTGTAAAAAATCGATTGTATTAGAATTGAGATAAGATACTAAACTGAAGTTAACCGGATAGTCAAAGAAGCAAATTAAAATATCAAAACCAACGAAATTTTTTGAAGAATTGGAATTTTCTCCCAGCGGAGGCGAATGAAAAACTGCATCATAAAGCGGTTTGCAGAAGCTTATTTGCTCGTTTATGGGTATTTAAATTGTCTTTAGACACGAATTAAAAATAAAAAATGTTATCTTTTAGGGTAAAAATGCAACTAAATGTCAGATAAGATCTCAAAGCTACTTCATTTTTCAAATATGTGACGCTTGATGTATCAGTTAACATCTACACATTGTGCTCGGAACTTATCTGGTAAAAAGCCTGAAGAAATGGACTTTTGATTTTGTCCACCATATCAAAGCATCTTTTTAGCTTTTAAGCCAAATTGACCGAGTTTTATGTGCCAATAATTTTTACTACCATACTATTTATCCATTAACTGACCAATTTTAGATGCTAATCTATTCAGCCATATTATACCATATTCAGTCCTATTTAAAAATTGATGGTCAATTGAATACATTAACTGTATGTGCCATACATATGGAATTGGGTTAATTTCTTGGCATTTTTATGACTGTGTAGAATAATCGTAGCACATTTCAACGCGGTAACCTTTCTGAATAGAGTCTATACAAAATCAAGACGTGAAGTATTTCTATTTCAGAATTGATTAGATAAAATGTTCTGGTTTTGCTCTTATGGTTCACTTGTCAGAAACAAGCTCGATGTTCTCATTAGTTTCACAGCGACCAGTTTTAAATTCCACCGGGATTCAATTACTAAGTGACAGTTTTTAGAGCGAAAAGGGATAGAGGTGGAGAATAGGAGAATATATTCTCTGTCAAAAAATCAATGGGTTTATTAGTCAATCATCATGTGAATTAAATGCAGATCAAATCCCAATTTTGGAGGTTTTTTATAGATTCTCTGAAAAAATAGTTTTCTTCGAAACAGGAAAGGAATTTTTCAGTGCATGGAGATATGAAACAATGTATTTAAGGCCTTCTTGGAATATTCTTATGAACTTCAAAAAAGGAGCCTTGATGAAGTGGTCCTCATTCATTTTGCAGAACTATATTTAAGAAAAGTTTATTTATAACACTAGCCATTACTTCAATTCTTCGCAGTTTCGCTCCGTGCTTAGACAATTTTAATTAAACGGGACTGTTAAGTTAAATTAGACGGCTCAGATCTTCCTTCTGTTTTTTTAATCTTTTTTACCGCTAAGTCCTGGACTGAAAAATTTCATTTGTTTTCTTACCAAAATATTTCTTTTTGAAATTGGTTCAGCTGTTTTTCACGGAATCCTCCAGTTTAATTCTTAAATTTAATCCTTAAGCTAGATAGCACGTAATGAAGTTAGGTGGCAGAATGCCTTGGTGTTATAAAAAAAAGGGAACCGATAGAGTGGTTTTGATCGCCTTACATTAGAATGGTTAGTGGCTCGAGAACAACCGTGGCATTTGTTCAATGCCTTAAGGATGTGGCAACATTTCCCAGTCCAGAAAAGGTAAAAGCATAGTCAACGTACAGTTTGGAATATTGTTGGGAATGTGCTCAAATATTAAAAGAGTTTGAAATTTTTCAAAACTTATGAAACTGTTTGACAAGTTCTTTCTGAGTTGAAGCGTGTGTAAACTTTTAACTACTAACTACTACTAATGCGTGTATTGTCCATTTTCCCATTGTGGCGGGACTGGACTTTCAGAAAGTGCGTGAGCAATGGTTCAGATCAAGTCTAATTCTTTAAACAGCAGCAGAGCCGCAATTTGCCGCAATTCGTTCTGAAAACTGCTATTTTGACCGATGATGCACGTATTGCGTCTCTTTCATCGGAAATCATATTTCCCAGATAGCTGAATTTTTTGACAGTATTCAGGGTTTCAATTTGATTGATCTGTAGAGTAGCTTTCTGATTTGAGCGATAATGGGAAGGATTATTGAATCTTGGACAAACATAATTAGTTTTATGTTAAGGTTTTTTCCTCAGACCTCTGAATTTTTTGCACCCATTTATTACAAGAATTGCAGCGTATTGAAACGGCGACGACTCCCTTTAGACAATAAGCACATGATTGTTTTACGGTTTTTTGAAGAATATACTTATGGCTTGAAATCAAATTCTTTGTCTTATCAACAATGATTTTTAAACCGCGTTCTTGCAAAGCCTTGTCCCAAGTTTAATTGTCCTGCTGTTAAGATAGACTGCCGGTTGAAAGTCCAGAAAAACGAGGGAGTGGACGTCAGGAAGGACATCCAGTCCATAGCGATTTCAGTCTGAAAATGCTTTGTTAAGGTCACCGCTCCAAGCAACTCATGGAAAGTCAAACTTTTAAGAAGAAAAAACAAAAAATGTGTACCGCGTTAATAAGTGAAAATGCTTTATTCATGAACATTGAAAGACGTGCTTGTTTCAATCAGGGGTCATCGAAGGTTTTCCATCAGACGATAAAAATTATTTTGTGTCAAACTTTCGATGTGAAATATCAAAAACGATAGGCTGGCGAACATCTGAAAAAACCAGTGGTTTCTGGTTGGCGTATTTTACGATTTCGGATAACCCTCGTTAAGGTTTTTTCCAAAAGAGATAAGAAGTTACGTTGAAATCAGATAGATTATGAATAGCGTGAAATGAAATGAAATTTGTTAATATAAAGGTCGGTGACAGATTGCCAATGATCTATATCGTGAATTAGCTTCAATGACCTTAAAAGTGAACGCGGTACATATGCATTGACTCAACCTGTGTGTACGCTATCAGTGTATATTTTATAGATACTAACAAGACTGCTCGTATCAGGGCGAAGCCCTGAATGTTCCGACTGCCTTTTAAGGTTTATGAAGCAGTAATAATTTCAATGAAAAAAAAAAACAAAATGAAAAAAAAAATTTTCTAAAATTTGAAATTTTTTTAAATAAAAATCAATCCCCCCACACGCAATATAAAGTACAAAAGGATAGATTTCGCTCCTTGTAACAAACCAATTATGGCAAATAAGCTTCTTGTAACCAATTTGGAACGATTTCTAAGTCGGATTAACTCTCCGCTTACGCGTTAATAGCGCGAAATATATCGCGCGTTAATTGTCCCGAATTGGCCAAAATGGCATTATTTAAACCCTTGTAACTCTGCGAAAAATGATCACAGGTGAAATATCTTTTCAAATTTGAGCTCAGGACAACAATACCTTTCGAATGATATAAAATAATTTCGTCAAAAATGGCTAGTTAAAAAGTCGAAATTTGTCTGAAGAAAAAAAACCCACCCCGAGCACAAATATTCCGTTACTTTCGTATCGAAAGTCGGAACAATAAAATATGCAAATAAGGCATTCATCCTTCTTAGGGGTCTATGGCATTCACCTGGCGCTAAAAAAATTATAAATGTATCTGTTCCGACTTTCGAAGAAAGTGCGGATTAATCCCGTACTAAACTTATTTCCAATTACAGACATGACCTGGTATAATCCGGAACTTGAGCTAAAAGCGGTGTGCGCAGGTATGAAAAATACTTGTGTACACCTGCAAATAGGAAAAATGTGCTCAGTCCTGGTTTTAAATAAAATTTATGCTTGGTGGTTCTTTTCAGTCAGTTTTCGACTTCTTAATTAACCAATTTTGACTGAATTTTTGTACCACTTGAAAGATATTGTTGTCCTGAGCTCAAATTGAAAAGATATTTTACCTGTATCAATTTTCGTAAAGTAAAGGAAGTTTGAAAATTGCTAATTTTGCCAATTTGAGAAATTAACGCGCGATGTTTTAAGTTTTTATAACAGGCGTAAGCGAAATTCAATTGAGGCAATACAAGATGCCAAGTACATCCTTTTATAGTTTACATTAGCGTGTGGGCGGATAAATTGAATTAAAAAAATGAAGAAAAGTTAAGTTATTTGTTTTTGCGATTATGTAGTCAATTTTTCAATCTATAACCTTCTGAATTGACTGAAGTGTAGTCGGAAAATTCAGGGCTTCGCCCTGATATACGAGCAGTTTTGTTTTTGAGAGTGATTCGTTCGAGTCTTTTGGCAATTAACAGTTGTTGCTTCATTAAAAAATTAGGTGACTGCTTGATTTTCTTGTTCTATCGGTATAACTTTTTTTGCCCCATATTTTTCTTATTTGTTTTCACTGGTTTTGATTTTTGGTATTTTGACCAGGATCCTGTTCGTCAAGGGCTCAAATCTATTGGAATAGTTCGTGTACACGTCGTCGTGCGCCTTTTCGTCCAGCGAATCTTCGTTCATTCGTGCGATTGAACAAAGATGTGTTCGGTTTGAATGTTACTATCGTCCGGCCAAGTGTTTAGTTCCCTTAAGTTAGCACCACGTCTTTGCACCTATTTGGGTGTGTTCTTCTCCATTCGGTATGTAGTGTTCTGCCGATTCTAGTCTGCTAAATAAAATCGTGCTTGTTGTCTTGTTGTTTGGATGATGTGGGCTAGTCCTACCTTTTCCGTGTGCATCTTTGTTCGCTCCCTTTGCTTACAATTGCATTATTTTTCGCTTTGATTGGAGCCCTATTTAATTCCTTTTGGCTTCTTTTAGTGAATCAAAAATTACGCTGAAATTACCGTATTCATCGGCGAGGAAACTACATCAAAGTGAGTTTTTTTTATATAGCCCAATAAAGTTTATGAAAAGTATCAATTTTTAAGAAGTTTGTAAATCAATATAGTTTTGTATGATAGCCAAAACATGTCCTTTTAACTATATAAAATAGTAATTTTTCTTTTTTTATCTTTTAAACGGTTTTGCCCAA